TATATATATATATATGATATATATATAAAATGTTTAAATCTGTGGAGCCACTTTGGTTGAAGCTGAGGTGGATATTGGAATTACCCTCACAGCAGCCCCTGAGATTCTTCTCTGCACCCTGGGGCTCCACAGGTCACAGTTTAAAAACTTCAGATATTCCAGTCCTTAAAATTTGGATACTTAATGACCTTATTATAAAAAACATATAAAGATTTCAGTTTGGAGAAATAGTACATATCAGATAAACCCCCACATTTCTTCTCAGGTTCCCATAGCTGATGTTTTTAGTGTTTAACAATCTTTGTTGCACAATATATTACTTGGAGTAAGACACAGTATATCATATAGCCAAGTACTAATTACTCAGTGTCTGTACAGTTTGAGATTTACTCATACTTATTTATTCTTTGATCTTTTCTCTTATACATCTTTTTAGGCATTTCAGTTGATCTCTATCGAAAAGGCAGAATAACAGGTGATACTTAAATCATTTAATATAATTTCAGGGATAGTTACAAGGGTGCATAATTTAAGGAGTCAATCACTTTTAGGATCATGTAGTACTTGTAGGACCTTAAGAGTGAGTGCCTCCTTAAATTATATACCTAAGCACCTAGCTGATCTCTTCATATTCGGGCTTTGACTGAGATGTATACAGTGTGAATAAGTTTTATGGCGAGCAATTTGGAAGCCCCTGGTCTATAAAGTCAAATTTTTACCATGCATCAGGATCACCTGGAGGGCTTCTTGAACCACAAATTGCCCTGTTCGGGTCCCAGATTTTAATTCAGAAGGTCTGATTGGAACCAGAGAATTTACATATCTGAGAATATCCCAGGTGATGCTAATGCTGGTAATCTGGGCAGCATACTAGAACCACCGGTGCAGGTAATACCCTTTGAATTAGTTAAGGATTTATTTATACTTCTCAGGCTCGAGGTGTAATGGAAAAGGTAAAACTAGATGGCATTATATTTAGTATGACAGGATGAGAAGGTCTAGAAAAATTTTTAATAATAAAATTAGTGGAGAAGTAAAAGCTTAAATTATAAAGAATATTTTATAAATACTATATAAGTGATTTATATCCAACATAAAATTTATTAATTTAATAATTTCATAAGTGATTACTAAGCCTATATTTTTTCTAATTTCTTATAGCTGGATGATTTAAAAGAATCTACTATTTCCATAATTACCTACTTTGAATATAAATTTCATACTGTTATATCTAAGTTTTAAAAATTGACACTATTTTTATCAATGTAATTTATACAGTTTGGGTTCTATAACATGGTGGACTGAGCTAATTAATATGCACTTCTCCCTCTCACTAAACACTCATAAAATAATGGATAAAACATAGCAACAACAAAAATATTAAATACCTAGTTATATTCAAATGATAGAACAGGAATCTTTCAATGCCTCATACAAGAAAGAACTTAAAGCCATAGTTATAAGTCCCTGGAGGGTGTGGCAGCACAAAGCTGATGAGATAAAAGCCCTAGGCCCCAAAGGGTCTACAGCACAGCTTTGAGCCTGAGAGGCAGGAGCTCAAACTAAGATTCTTGGGGCCCTGGGAGCTTCCGCCCTTTTCGTTTTTAGTGGGGCAAAAATCAGCTCATAGTCCAGAGGTGAAAAGAAGAAATTTCTTTCCCAGAGGTAGCAGGTTGGGTAAATAAACAGCCTTCCTTGAGAAATAGAAGTCACAGACCCTATCCCAAAGATGTATTTGGATTTACATTTGAGTTTAGGCAATTTACTTAGTAGGAGAATCTCAATGTAAATTCATGTAAAAATGGATTTGGGGCTGATGAAACTTCTGGGGCACCAGGTGGAATGAAACATTAAAGTGCCAATAGCAATGCTTTACAACCCAGGGTAAATCCCCAATGAAGATGAATTTGTTGGTGGAAACTAACAGTTATATGAGGAAATGATTCATCACAAGGAAAAATCAAGTCATGCAACTACCAGACATAGCTGAAGAAAGAATTAGTAAATTAAAAGCCAGAGTTGAGAAATACAATATGTAGAATATAGCACAGAAAACCTGAGAAAAAAAATTATGATAGAGAAATAAAAAGTCTTGGAGAATAGAATAAGATATAATATTCCTCTAATAGTTTTTTCAGAAAAGCAATAGAAAATAATGGGAGAAGAAGCAATATATTAGTGATGGAGTGTTCATGAGAAGAAAGAAATAATTCATTGTGGAAGAAGCATGGCATATCTTGAGCAAGACAGATGAAAATAAATCTACGCTTAAAATTTATTAAAATAAAACTAAGACATCAGAGGATATAAACATATAATCTTAAAAAGAAAGGAAAAACTAAGCAAGTCAAAAAAGGCAAAAAATTTAAAAAACAAATCATATTTATCAGATGATCTTATGGTTTCATGGTCTTCTGGAGAACTCTACCTTGGAGCCCTGTGGACTCCTGTTCCAATCTTGACTGGTCACTTTCTAAGCATGCCTACCTGTGTCTCATCCTGTGATTCCAGTTAGAATCTCTCTTACGTTTGACCTCCTGTTTCTGGCTCTAATGACCCCAGCTGTTTGGAATATATGCCCTCATTTTGT